ACGTGTACTTAGTTCTGTATCTGTTTTGCGTGTCTTTTTAATATTCCTTTAGTTGGCTGTTTAGACCATAAGAAGAACAAAGCTTGTAGAGTTTCTTATGGGTCTCTATTTCATATGCACGCCTAAGAGAAACGAACGATTATGTGAGAGTACTTCGTGACTAGAATTGTGAATGTCACTATACATACAAAGTGACAGCAAGTACGTATGTATATGCAAAGTTGTTGTTTGAATACGAAAGAGATCGTGTTGGTGAAACCAAGGATGCAGGGTTTGTCCAGGTTCTCTTGCCTTCATTTAACTTCAGTTCATCGCAAGCGCTAATTGTCTTTTATACTAGTTATGCCAGCGTTCGTCTAGAATAGTTATTATGGCCATCATAATTATTTTTGCAAACAACCTTCTCAGCTTTATAAATTTCGTCTATTACCCACGACGTCGTCCGCGTCCCGTCGTCCTTGCAAGTTAATCTAAAGAAATAAACATATACTGTCCGGAACATTTTATTAGATCGTTTAAAGAGGAATCATTCCCTGATAAAAGATGTTTTAAAGCCTAAAGACTTCCGCGATAAATTATCTATCCAACATAAAAAGAATCAATTCGAACCCGTAGTTCCGAAGATTAGCGCGTTCAAACAAACAAACTCTTTAGCTTTATAATATTTGTAAAGATGCCTGAATGTCCTTAATACCAAAAATGCTCTCCAAACTTTTGGCCGGGCTGAAGTTAGTGCGGATAGTTGCGCAAAACGCAAAAAGCAGGCATCAGTTGTGAAAGGGGGTGCGCGGGTGCGGGGGAACTCGACTTTATGAAATTTTTAAATGAAATGTTTAAAATTGACAGTATCACGCGCAAGATGGCGGTCGCGTCAACTGTAGCTCGGCCGAAATTTTGTAGAGAACTGTACTAGCATTTCGCTTGTCGCAGCATTCGAACCCTAGACCTCATGGTCTGCAAACGATTGCAGCTTAACTCAGCACTGGGTTAAGTTAAATTACTAACGCACGCTTGCTTGAGTAAAATAACGAGTGTGCACCATTAAATTGTTTTGAACTTGGCGACAAACAGTATTTTTTAATTCGCTTTACTGTTATCTTTTGTTCTGAGTACAAATTATATCTATTAAATTGTTCAATGACAAAATATGCTAACCGTATGATTATTTTGTCTAGCTTATATAACATTGACTATCCTATGTTTAATCTTTTTAGGGTTCTGTAAACAAAAGATAAAGACGGTTGCCATTACGGAGACTTTGATGGATGTCTGTTTGTAGGTATCGCAAGAACCGCGATAGGATTTTAAGTTCTTCGTATTTATTAATTTTCATTAAATCTATATATCTGTCGCCGCTAATTTTATATAAATATTCAAAACAAAATGAGACACACATATCTAGAGGAGAAGAGAGAAGGAGGTTGCTCCCATTCCCCCAACTCTGTTCTGTTTTATATCACTATTGGCGAATTGAAGGCCCTTGTAGCAAAAAAGGTAACAATATTAAATTCATGTCTCTCTGTCCTACCTACTATTATTTATCGTAATCATTTGTACGGAACCCGTGCAATGCAATACGTGTTATTAAACCTGGAAACATGAACAAGGGGCAGACGGACAAGGAAACTTTTTAGCCGCCTTTTAAATAAGGAGGACGTTTGTAAACGTGTATGTCATTGAACAATAATAATTAAATACCATTTTAACGAACTGTTTAATGACTTCTACGCTGTGTGCATTCATATGCAATCCTTCGGCGTTGTTATGCAATGAAAACACGATTCCGTAGAGATTTATTCAATAACCTTTTGCATTCTCGACCTAATTCTGGTCGGACGTTTTAGCAATAATAAAACAGATAGCTTTGTAAACGAGTTGCGATATTTATTAATTAAAAAAGCTATGGACCTCAATTAATATACTATACTAGCTGTGTCAGCGACTTTGTGGGCGTAGAATAGTTATTTTGGGCACCCAAATTTGTTTTTGCTACCTTATCTTTAGGAATTAAAATTGTTACTCACGACGTCGGTAGCTAAAGATAAACATAGTTAAAGATAGACATAGTGTCGCGGACATTTTTTCAGACTGTTTAAAGAGAAATCATTATTTAATACATATTTTTGGGTATATTGAATCGTTTTCACGAAGATCTACATATTGATGAATAATTTTCCCTGTTTTTTCCACATTTCCTATTGTACATACAAGTACTTGGAATTACTAAAAATGGTAACGGTATGAAATGTATACCTACTGTCGTTAATCTACGGAACCGTTCATAAACATGTCCGCCTGCCGCTTAAATCTATACTAATATATAAAGCTGAAGAGTTTGTTAGTTTATTTGTTTGTTTGAACGCGCTAATCTCAGGAACTACCGGTTCGAAGTGAACAAGTCTTTTTGTTTGAAAACATTAATATTTTTCACATGTTATTGCACATGAAGGCACTATATAATTTAAAAATCGAAAATAAATTGAAAAAATCCGTGCTGTTGCTCTGACGGAAAGCTGACGATGCCGGTTCAAGTCCTGTCCGAGTCGAAAATTTTTTCAATTTATTTTCGATTTTTAAATTATATAAGTCTTTTTGTGTTGGTTAGAGCATTTACTGTAGAAGGTTAAAGGCTACACTAAAATATTGCGACGCTACTATTAGGAAGGAAGAAACAGCGGCAAATGTGGGAAAACGGGGAAAATTATCCATCTTTGTAGGTTTGCGTTGCGTACGCTTCAAGATATCCAAAATATGTGTGAAACAATAATTCCTCTTTAAATGATCTAAAAAAAAGTCTGCGACGCTGTATGTTTATCTCCTAAGATCACTACTTTATTAAGACTGACTGTGAATAACAGCTTAAGTTTATAAAGATAAAGAAGGGGTTTGCAAGAACGAATTTTATTCCCAAAATAAATATTCTTTGAATTGATAGTTAAATTGATTTAAAAAATATATGACAACGGAAGTAGATATCGGTGTCTATATAACTAGATAGATCAATAGAGTTTTCTCTCTGTGGGAATTTAAGTAGAAAATGTTTTCTTCGCACGCGTTATAATACTTCTACAATATCTAGAACAGTTTAACTCTTGTGACATTTATCAAACAAGTTGTAAAAAATTATACTATGTAATAATTGGCGTGGAGAAGGTTAAAAAGGAGTTGCGTTTTGTAGATTTTGACAATTGACAAAATAGAATAGATTTGACAATATACTCGTATCCATAAAGTAGGTTTTTAATTGCGAACTGTACGGTTCATTCATTAAGTTTGGCTGAAAGAGAGTCAAGCATAGGGGTCACTGATAGAAAGTGATATTTCATTTAACATCGAACAAAATGCGTTGTCGATCTAAATTTGGCTTTAGACATTCGCAAACCCACAGACTGAAACACATTTCCTTCTGGATATGGTGGTTTGTGAAACGGACGGGATTTCGATATTCCTAACACGCATTTAACATCCAGTTTTTTTAGAGGAAGTCTCAGAAAAATTATAAATCGATCTAGAATTAATTGTTGTTAGCCGTAAACATTTAAATTAAACACTTTAACAGTTTAAAACGCGATGTATATTAGTTAAATTTATTTAGTGATTATTTTACCCGACGTTTCGGATGATTTGCAGCAGCCGTGGTCCTGGTGAGACCGTAGAGATGTAGTTAAGTAATTTCCATATAAGTTTAACCAGTCTACATTTTTATGTATTATAGCTTTATTATTTATAATACATATTTCGTGTCATCTTACGCACTAACTTATAAATAAAAAAGCGGCCTTATCGCTAAGTAGCGATCTCTTCCAGGCAACCTGAAATACAGGAGAAAAGAAATAGAAAAGGACTTATTTAGTGGGTAGGTGTAAGGAATAATAAAGAAAAGTGAAGGTATATAGTAAAAGCACACACAACGAGTAGGAGAGACACTAACTTAAAAATATTTATATCGCGTTTTAAACCGTTATATTGATTTATTTAAGTGTGATTTTTACAGCGCTAGAATAAACGTCAATTTCAATAACATTAAAAGGATGTCATAGGCGTGATTTTAATGAATAGAGTGGTGAGTAGGTTGTTTCCTGTGTCAAGGCTGATTTGACAATGAAAGGAACTAGGTTTAAATTAGGTTCAAATCAAATATCCACCCTTGAACCGAACAGGTTCAAATGGTATGTCCTAAATAATATTTCGTACTGAACTATATTAATAATAAAAACTGAAATCCTAGTGGAGTTTGGGGCGGACATATTTCTGTGTTCGTTTTCTTGTTATCGAGTAGTTGATCAGACTTCTCTGAGCTGCGCGACCAAAACAATCTTTTCGCGGGGATTCGAGCCCAGGGCCTACAGTAATTAACGCAATGCTAGGCGAACGTTTAACCATTTAGCTACAGAGATACATTGTAATAGTGGGGAAGTAGAAAATTTTATAGCATCCGTAGTTTAATGGTGAAACTTATGGCCCAGCGTTGTGTTAAGAACTACTAACTCTAACTCGTAGGTTCGAATTCAGGGATTACAATATTTTGAGTCTCCCCGTGACCACGGCTGCTGCAAAGCATCCGAAACGTCGGGCCGAAGTTAAAAATCATTTTCAAATAAGTTTAACTAATATATCGCGTTTTAAACCGTTAAAGTGTTTTATTTAAATGTGTACTACTCGCGTAAACTATAGACAGTATTTAATTCAAGCCTTGAATTATTATTATTAATTCAAGGCTTTCTTGGGGAGAGAAGAGAAATTGTAGGCGTCGGTTAATTTGAAAGTAATTTTCTAAAGATAATTTACAATTTAGTGGTAATGAACTTGATCCTTAGAGAATGACCTTGAAAGACAATAATACGCAGAACGTAAATAAAATACCAGTCTTTTAATCTGTCTCAAGATGTAAAACCGGATTTTCTTAAATTTCGTTGTAGTCTTGCATAGGTAAATATTTATTATAGATCCTTTTTTGTTTTTCATAGATCACTATCAATAACACTTAAAATTGTACTCACATCGTTGTTAAAGAAATCTTCCCCGGCCACAATTCGATCCAGGATTGATGAAGCGACTAACGTTATTAATAATCTAACACAAAACATTTTAATATATAATAATATTTAAAATTGTACAGACACAAAATTCACTTTGAACATTTTTGGTGGCGAAATTTTTATTTCGCGCGCATTTAACCAATTTCACAATTCGAACGATAGTCCTTAAAAAAACAACTAAATACTACAGATGATAAATATTTTCACAGACTATAAATGTATTGTCAACGTTTGACAACAGGTCGGCGTGTTTCGCGCCGCGCGACTGCGGCCTTTTGCCCAACTGCATTAGAACGTTAGACGACGGGGTTGAACGTATTGTATCGGAATAATTATTCCGAAATTCGCAACAAAGTAAGGGTTAAAACACACTTCTTTAGACATATAGTTAACTAGCATAACTATGTTTGGTTGTTTTCAAGATAACATTTAATAAATATCATGTTCATATAAGTGTAATAAATAATTCGTTATTATGCACTAATTTCGACCAATTTTATTTACCGTACAGATGGTTACGAGTTAATCTTAAAAGATAGACATATACTGTCGTGGTCATTTTTTATATTACTGAAAGGGAAATCATTCTCTCATACATATTTTTTGGGTATGAACCGTCTTCGAAGCGTGTGTACCTACACATCGAAAACCCACAGAGATGAAAACTTCCCCCATTTTTTTCACATTTCCCGCTACTATAGCCTTCCGCGATAAATGTTTTAACTAACACAAAAAGATTTTTTTAATTTGAACCAGTATCTCCTGATATTAGCGCGTCCAAACAAACAAACAAACACTTTAGCTTTTATTAGTATAGATATAGATTAAAAAAACCTAATTTTCAAGAGAGATTAGGTTATATTATTATTATTTTTTATAGAACAACACAAGCTGTCATTTAAATGTCAAAATTGTAATATTAAGATATTGAGCGACGTAAATATTGAAACTACAGCGTAATTGTACAGGAAATTAAAAGGAGATAGGTAAAATGAAAACTGTGAGACATTGGAAATCTCTAAAACAGTTCCACTTCGGTACATACACACATTGCACGCCGGACAGCGAACTACATAGCGCTAAATACAATTATTAATATCAATAAAGAATGAGTTTACCACGAGACTCGACGAATTAATCATTCTTTATAATATATAATTAACACAAACAGTACACATTTAAATAAAACACTTTTAACATCCTAAATCATAAAAGTTATTCGTTAATTTACTTTCAAATACGACGCAACCATTCAGTTGCTTTGCAGTAGCCTTGACCGTTACGCATTTCGCGTTTTAAACCGTTATTTTTTTTTTATTTAAACTTGGTTAACTGTTTTGGTTCTAGGGTTAACATACTACGAAATAATTAATTGTAAGAAGAACGTATTGACTCTAGAAAATTAAAAAAACATTCCCACATCAATATTTTTGTATATTGTTTTAAGTCCTTAGTGGTTAACCAACCAGCTGGGAAGAACGAAATTTCCACTTCCGCGGTCGGGAGGGACCTGAATTAATTTTTTAAAATAAATAATATCATTATAATCATATTGTAGGATCATTATTATTAGATAAAACTTCTTGAAAGAACAAAACAAATTATGCTAAAATTGCAGACCCCGTCTCCATGCATTCCGCTGTTCTGATAAACGCAGCAGATCGCACCGATATATCCCACATGACCCATTGTTACCTTTCTCTGATCCCATACGTAGCCGTCACCCGCATTGCATTGTTTCGAAAAATTCGAAAAGCAGAGAAAGCCTTTCGAGTCTATTAAACACGCTCTCGTCTTTTCAAAATACTTTCTGTTAGTGTATAATGAATGCGTATGAAGATTAATTATCATAAAATATCGCGAATGTTAACACATCTAGTTGTTATCAGTCTACTTTAATATTTTTTTTATTTAAAAATAATATTAACACCATTCCAGGATTTTCAAGGCATGACTTGGGTACTTTTATTCAAAATGTAAAAATAATCCTATCTGAATCCTATCTCAATTGGTAGAGCAACAGCACGGAACGCTGACGATGCCGGTTCAAGTCCTGTCCGAGTCGAAAAATTTTTCGATTTTTAAATCCTATCTGAATCTAAAAACAAATGAAGAGGTTCGAACCCGAAGCAATAGGATTTTATACAAGTATATATATAAACTACTAAAGTTTGCGGGCGGAGTAAACATTTAAATAATAGGTACACTTTTAGCGGTCGTTTATGCAAACCTCCTCATCCTTATTATTTACTAGCTGAGCCCGCGACTTCGTTCGCGTGGAATAGTGACTTGGGGTAGACTTTTTAACGATCGCAACGAAAACCCGCAAAGATAAATAATTTTAAATAAGTTTGCCACGTTTCCCACTATTTCTTCACTCGAATTTGTCCCAATGTGTTGTTTTATAGGCTAAAGCCTTCCTCGATAAATGTTCCATTCAACACGAAATAATTTTTCAATTTGACTCAGTAGGTCCTCAGTAGCGCGTTCAAACAAACTCTTCAGCTTCTATTGGTAAACGTATAGACGTCTATGAAGCTGTAAGCGGGTCATTAAATATGTAAATTAATTCACCCTTTGCGATGAACGAACTCTCAATGAACTTGATCGTAGACATAGCCATATTCGCTGAGGTCGTTACTAGAAATTGTAAACTTTCGATCTAGATCAGGTGGAAAGCCGTTGCACGACTTGCACTTTTCTTCGTAATGCTATACTTAAATATTGTCTGTAGTTTACGCGAGTTGTACACATTTAAAACACTCTAACGATTTAAAACGCGATATTAGTTAAGCTTACTTGAAAATAATTTCAGCCCGACGTTTCAGATGTTTTGCAGCATACAGCCGTGATCACGGGGAGACTAAAGCAATGCATTCGAAACATCTAGCCGTAGTTGAAATTAATTTTAAATAAGTTTACTATTATAAATCGCGTTTTAAACCGTTAAAGTGTTCTATATAAATATTTATACTTGCTGTAAGACAGTTAAAACAAAAATCTTGGTCAGTAAAATCGAAATCAAATTTGTTATTTTGCCGTATAAATTATGTCGAGGGTAGAAACACTGTCAGTAATAAACAAGTGATAATACAAATGTAAATAAAACATCGTTAACGGTTGAAAACGTTATTTAAAACTTTGTTTTAACCACGGCCTTTCAGATGCTTTCGTGGTCACGTGGTATTAAATGTCAAAGCCAAATCTGCTACGCTATCGCCATCTGTTTTGTTTGGAATTGTTATTTGGAGAAACTAACTGGGTCTTTATAGATTTTAGAGAGCTCTTGCTTTTGGTTTGTCGTTTCAGATAAGTTTGCATTTGCTACCAAGTGTTTGATATATTCAGGCCGTCCTTTATATGAATTTTATGTCTTCAAATCTTAAAGATATTAGACATTTTTCAGGTATATTACCCGAATCAAGTAAAATTAAACGTAACGTACAATAGTCGGACCGTATATAGAACGAGCAATTGGTGAAATGGACACACTTGCAATCGATAAATATCTCCGACACGGACGGACTCAGGCATGTACAAAACGGGAGATGGCTTTACACAAATGATATATATAACGCTAGCTGTGTTGGCGACTTAGTCCGTGTAAAAAAGCTATTTTGGGCATCCAAGTTGTTTTTGAAAAATCCTCGCTCCCTCTTTATAACGCCCCTTTTGCAAGTAAAACATATAAGATTTCGACATCGATTTAGATTTTCGACAGTGTATGCCTACATACTGTAGAAATCAATCTTTCGTACCGTATCAAGAAACCAAATAACTATGTAGTTGTTTGGTTTCTTGATTGTTTTCGTAGCTTACGCAACGGAAGACTTCAAAGATGATTTGATGATAATTTTTCCCGTTTTTTCCACATTTCTTTCCGTTTTTTCGCTTCTATTAGTCACTAGGTAACGTTTAATAGCCAAGCTTTCCTCAGTAAATGGTTCAACGAACAGAAAATAATTTTTAAATTCGATACAGTAGTTCCAGAGATTAGCGCGTTTAAACAAACAAACAAACTCTTTACTCTTATAATATTAGAATAGATGATAAAAATGGTTTACGCTTTAAAATTATATGACACATTTCTGTTGACCTGACGCCCTTAGACCATGACCAGGTACCGTTTAGTAGTTCTTTGTTCTTTCATTAATATAATTATGAAAACACACTGACATAAAAAACAGTTAGCTTTGTAAACATACAGTAACAGATACCTTTGTCTGCTACTCTGTCTGTAGGTTACTAGGACATCAAAACATCACATTTGATTGTGATGGAAAAATTTTGACTTGACTAGGACTTGACCGATCTACCATCTTTATGTCCCTGGAGACCCGGCCCTACAACTGGCCACTACAAAGCAACTAAAACGTCGGGTCGGAGTTAATATATAATAACAAATACATATAACATAACAGTTTAATCACGTTTCGGTTTCAGCCTGTGGATTTCCAAATGTCAAAAGTCAAAATAGGCCGACAGCGCATCTTGTGTAGATGTTATATGGCTGGGGTATATCACCTTCCATCGAGTGAACCAATGTGTGTCTGTCTGTTTATAAGTGAGCAAAACTCTTACGGGCGTTACAGAAATATTTGTAGTGTAGAAATTAGCTTTATTAAAACTTGAAGAAGCGATTCAATTTAATTAGCCCACATTGACGGACACTCGTAAAATAATTGCTGTTCTGATGAAAACGAAATTTGAAGTACTTTCTCCGAGAAAACTTTCAATTTAGTATACGCGTACAAACATAGCATTTTATATGAGATGGACGGACGGACGCATGACCCGAATTTATTTTATCGTTTACGCGTTGCAACTTTTATTGTATGAAATGAGAGAAAGTGGCGATCTATCGACTGTCACTACGTGTAGTTTACGCAAGTGATACACATTAAATGTACAGTAATATATGAAGCTGAAGAGTTTGTTTGTATGTTTAGCTGAACGCGCTAATCTCAGGAACTACTGGTTCGAATTGAAAAAATATTTTGTGTTAGAACATATATCGAGGAAGGAAGGAAGGGTATAAACGCGGGAAATTATTCAGAGATTCCGTTGCGTGCGCGACGAAAACGGTTTAAGATATGTACGGTAGAAAATATGTAATAAAGAATTATTCCTCTTTATATGGTCTAAAAAATTTCCGCGATAGTAAGCGAGAGGACGCAATTTTTTTCCTTTATAAAATTATTTTCCTTGAATTTCAATGCTTATCCTAAAAAATATGGCATTGAAATTTACTTTACTATCGAAAACAGTTGCGCTTAAAGCTTGTAAATAATATAAAAACATGATATGTATTATGTACTTTTTCAGTCTTAACCAGTGTCAAACATATTTGAGTATAAAAAAACCACAGGCGTTTATTTTTTAATCGAGATAGTGTGTAGTTAAACGTACAGATCAATACTACTTTAAACGGTTCAAAAGTTAAACATATTATTTTTTTGTAACTAGGATTAAGTTATTTATGAATAAAAAAAAATTCGCTTGATGTGTTAGGTACTAAGTGTAAAGTAAGGAATACCTGAAATGATTTTGGTAATATTTTAAAGTGTGTTAGATATGAGGATGGTTCTGATAGAGAAATATTTAAATTGGCTGAAAAATCTATAATGTCCCTTCTATATACTTAAATACAAACAATTTTGTCAAGAACTTTTAACACCATTACGGAAAGTTTAGACATTGTTTGTTTTAGGAAAGACAATTGAAGTAACGTAAAATAAATTGTATGTAAAATTGTAATGTTTATAAAATATATAAGAAAAAAAAAAAAATATTATAAAACACCTTTGACTGTTTAAAACGTGACAGTTATGGGTGAACTTATTTTAACCGTTAAAGTATTTTATTTTATATAAGTAGATATGTTCGTAACATGTTTAAATGAGAGTAAAACAAGACATATTCTTAAAGTTATTCTTTATTATCACCCTACTAACATATTTTAAAACTTGAATTAAAATTAATAAATGCATTCTTAGTCTATCATTAAGTTATCACAATGTTAAATTAATTAAGTACATTTTTTAAGTTTCAGCTAAATTTGTACTTTAAACGCCGCTTCTCATCGTTCTGGATACACCAAGATTTTTCACTCCTGGAAAGAAAAAAAGGCAATGTTGAAATAACAAAAGAATAGTATTCCTTTTTTATAATAATAGTGTTCCGTTTACTAACTACGACGGAACGGATGGCGCTAGCGTAGCAGTTTTCTACGAAATTAAGGACACTCTCCATCTTCAGTCCCCTATGACCACGCAAGCATCCGAAACATCAGGCTGTAGTGATTATTATAGTGTAAATGAGTTTTTCTAATAAATTTCGCGTTTTAAACCGTTAAAATGTTTTAATTAAATGTGGCGTACTCGCGTAGTACAGGCGAAGGGGTTTTCGAGGAAGATCTGCGGCGGCGCCGACGGATTGCGTCATAACCAGGTTGTCTACGGCGTATGTTACGGTTAAGGTGATCGATGGCGTATAATATAAATAATAAAAAATATAAATATAAATAAAACTCTTTAACGGTTTAAAACGCGATATATATTAGTTAAACTTGTTTGAAAATTATTTTTAACTACGGCAAGATGTTCTGAATGCATTGCAGCAGCCGTGGTCACCGGTAAATAATTTTCAAACAAGTATAACTAATATATATCGCGTTTTAAACCGTTCAAGTGTTTATTGAAATACTTATTTATTTATTAACTTTATTAATTACAAACACCACAGAAATAGTTTACAACAATAAATTCTTATGTACTAGGTATTCTTATGTACTAAAAGGCGGCCTTATCGCTTAGATCTTCCTTATCAAAAATCTTATTAAATTTTGAGTAACGTTAATATCAAAGTGTCAATTATTTTTAGAACTTCCTCACTCTTTTCATAGAATTTAGTGACGTCAGCAGTTGCGTACAATACGCAGATGATACGTAAATAATGACACAACTATAATCAATGACATCATTGATTATTAATATACCTTCTATATGAAATTATTCATGTTGTGGATTTTAACGGAAATCCACACGATAGAGTTTGGTTTTGCCTAACTAAAATCGACATTGGGCGGCGATCCGAATATGACTGACGAGGACAGGATGGAATGTTATAAACCCCAACCATATATCTACTAGATGCGATGTCGACCAATATTACTTTGGATACCTCCATTTTGTCAGACCCAAGCTTTGAACCCGGGATCTAGTGGTATTCTTAGATTTAATACGTACATATTAACTTTTATCGTTAAAAAATCGATTCGGTTTAATTATTACAAGAACAGGACTCAAAGCCGCGAACACAGCAACCCCGTGGTTATGCATTTAGATTATTTAAAAATATGTTTTAAATAACTGCATTAATGTGTATTATATTGGATCAGGTAGAAATATTGTTAAATAAAGCACTTTAAACGGTTTGAAGCGCGAAATATATCAGTTAATTTGCTAACTACGGATATTGCTTTGTAGCACCCTCGGTCGACCAAATAGTTAAAAAGAACTTAAATCATATATTTCGCGTTTTAAACAAATTTTCTTTTGTAAGCCCTAAAGCTATAGTTTACTATATTAATATATTTTATTACTTTTTATTTTCTATATTAATAAATGGAAAATCAATAAACAGATCGAGAAACAGCTTACCTTAAAAAATACTCAAAAGAGACTCTACTACACGGAGACCAAACTTGCGGGTGATTGGAGGAGTCATATTTTGGCTGCATGATGCCTTTAAACCCTCCACAATTGTTGAACGGGAGGCCGTCGTGGGTTATTCCCAAACTGGAAAGATACAATGAGCTATAACACAAGCGTAACGTAATATTATTTTTCTTTAGTGAAATATGATATAGTCATATTATGTAAGTGAAATCAAAACCAATAAAAAATGTGTATTTGAGGTTTTTGATAACTGCAATTGGTTAAGTGGCGCCATCTAGTTCTCAATATACTTAACCCTTTTGTTCGATGTCACCATCCTACATATTATGAGGATATGATGTTAAAAATTGTCTTAAATATATTAAAAAATTCGGTCAGGCTAGGCACAGTCTCATCAACTATATTTCTATATATACAAAATACTATGAGTTCACCCCATGCCCCCCCACACAGGGGAAAACAGAACTTTGCTTTTTATAATTATAACCAAATAAATATAGATTCCGTTTTATCGTTTCCGATAACAGTCTGTAGTCTGGAATTCTAGTTTCCATTTAATGACTCGTAAATCTATAGCCGTATAATTTTTACCTGTGGCCTATTTCGTGAGCTAGCAAGTATCCCATATTTTTCGGATTCCATTCAATCAGGGTACAGCTTTTCTGCATACTACAAACACCGTTGGCGTAACTACGAGCTGGAAATAAGTAAATAATTGTATAAAAATACGTACATAAGTGTTGTCTGTAGTTTACACGAGTACTAGACATTAAAATCAAACACTTCTAACGGTTAAAAATGCGAAATTTATTAGTTCAATTTTTTACAAAATTTATTGTAAACAAGTTAGCTAATAAATTTCCCGTTTTAAATCGTTAAGCGTTTTATTTAAATATATGTATAGGCTTCAATAAAACCTTTTTGCTTTTTATTTTTATTATTTTAACCGACTCCTAGTCCAATAGTTATAAAATTTAGAACTAGTTATGACTCTCTCAATAAAGTAAACTGAAACTCGATCAATAAAGTATACACAGACAATGTCTGCGATGTGCTGTTGGCCTATTTTGGGTTTGAACATTCGAAAATCCAGAAACTTAAATGTTGTTTACCAGATGTGGTCCATGTAAGGCCATTATCAAATAATTTAGAAAAGACAGCTAGCGGAAATCGAACCCACTCACTCGAACAGTTACTACTCATGGTGATCTAACGCTTACGTTATAACACGTACCTGTCGAGCTTTTAACGGCTCTCCCATTTTTGATATAAAACAAATCAAGGCCAGTCAACAGAACCGAATAATATAATTTCTTTTGTTTAACTTTCTTCAAACTCTGCCACTGGCAATAGCTTCTCAAATAGTTCGTTGCGTTCTCGTCCATGGCTACTGCAGTGGTTTTTCTGAAAAACTTTGTGTCTAGAAGTTTCAGCGTTATAGTCTGGTTCAGGCTTGGACGTCTGAATAACACATTGGCTTCTTTAAAAACATTACTGACGATGGTTTTAATCTTCTTTCTAGTCTTGAAGCTGTGTTCCTTAGCCAGCTTTTTCGAGAGTTTAAAATCCAAATGGACCACGATCGGAATTGTTATGTCCCTCCTCGTTTCCGTAGAGATCGTTAGAAATGTTGGTCTGTGTCTGAATTTCGCGGATTTCTGTAAAATTAAAATTGAAACTATGTTTAAATAAAAAACTTTAACGGTTTAAAACGCGATATATCAGTTAGACTTATTTTAAAATGATTTTTAACTTCGGCCCGACGTTTCGGATGCTTTGCAGCAGCCGTGGCCAAGGGGAGAAGTCCGAAACGTCGGGCCGAAGTTAAAAATCGTTTTCAAATAAGTTTAACTAATATATCGCGTTTTAAACCGTTAAAGTGTTTTATTTAAATGTGTACTACTCGCGTAAACTATAGACAGTATTTAATTGTAACTATGATAAACGTTGAAGAACGGCTAGTTCAGGACGTGGGTTCGATCGATCGTTCTAATATTTCAATTTATAATTTTTCTGAAACATGATGGTTTAAATGCGGTCCACAGATGAAGAAGCCGCGATAATCCCATGTTTGTCTGTTCTCTTCTATCATAAAAATTTTTGTTCTCATTAGTTACCTTGTTGACTAGGAATTTTAAATATTAAGTATTTTCCTGCCACATATTTTAACACTGGGAAAACCTTATAAAATAAGCGTTTACATCTATTATTGTATTATTTGTTTGCGGCTCAGTGGTTAAACGTGTTATCGCGCATGTGGACTTGTATTTGAATTCCGGTAAAATATTGTTTCGGTTAAATAAGGCACAAAATTATTTTTTTATTTCTTATTTCTACATGCAAAGGCTGCCTGGAAGAAATCGCCATAGGCGATAAGGCCGCCTTTGCACAAACATGTTTTATTTTGTATGTATAATTCTAGGTATCCATGTTCTTATGTTTATGTTTGTGCAATATAGAGTTTATTATTATTAAAAGTCACATCAACTTGCTTATATGAATATCCGTGAAACAGTCACATAAATGTATCTGTCCCACGCCCCACCTAGATATCATAGGTACTCATAATTTCATTGATCAATGAAAAATTATTATAATTTTAAAAATCTATATATACCTATATTCATATTTATATGTTTGCCGATTTTATATGACTATCCATAAATTTGTTAAATTATAATTGATATACTGTCCTTGTTATCATATATATAAACACGAAAAAGATATATTAATGTACAAACGAAAAAAGGTATTTTGATTTAAATAAAAAACTTTAACGGTTTAAAACGCGATATATTAGTTAAACTTAAATTGAAACTGATCGGGCCGAAGTTAAAAATCAGTTTCAAATAAGTTTAACTAATATATCGCGTTTTAAACCGTTAAAGTGTTTTATTTAAATGTGTAGGTACTACTCGCGTAAACTATAGACAGTATTTAGGTATTTTGATTTTAATTCATTTAATAATATCATTATTTTATGTTTACTAAGACTTGCTTTGGCACTTTAACTTTTTATTGAATTTATTAGGATTTTAATTTACATTGTGAGATACCGATTATGAAATATTAAGTACGTTTTTTTAAGACTATTTTAAACCAATATAAAAAATACTTACATTACCAAAAACCACATTTACCGCTAAAAGAAGCCATACAACACAATAAAACTTCATTCTAACCACTGTTACTTGCTATTAAGGATAAACACACTTCTCCAATCACAGCATAAGCACTGAACACACTTGACATTAAAATCGGCCGACTAACTGTGAGTAAGCGAGTATTTCAGACGTCAATTTAGCAAATTAAAACCGATATTTCGCTATATTTAGGCGCTATACACGCGAGCGATGAACCGCGCGAAATGACGAAACGTCCGACACATTCGGTTACAAGATTTATGAATGGACTATATTTATCGTGTCTTTAAATAAATATTTCCTATCCTTGTCGTTGATATATATTTGTTAATAAGATGGTGAAGACAGATGTGAGCGCACATGTGTTTGGATAGTAATAAAAAGTGCAACGGATCGAGAACTATTAATACATTTGGTCGATCAGAGACAAGAAGCGTAAAGTTCACTCGGAGGGTAAAATACCGCCGCCACAGGACGTCTAAACAAGATGGGCTGTCGTCCTTTACTTTATAAACATTCGGGAATGGATAAACATATAATTTGTGGTCTAATTAATACATAATTACTAGAAATGATGCGTTTGATTTCATATATACTAGAACAAATATACACATTAACAGTTTAAAACGCATATATGTTGAACTTGTTCACAAATTATTTTTAACTACCGCCCGACGATTCGATCGCGAAACGAAAAGTTAAAAATTATTTGCAAACACATTAGCTTAACTTAAACGTTAACGGTTTTACCTTTAACGGTTTAAATTGTGTAATATTTGTAAACAGAGTTAGTTAAAGTGTTTAATTTAAATACTACTTGCGTAAACTACAGACGGTATTTGTTTTAATGTAACTGTTTGGGCAATGTTAGTCTTGATAAGACTAACAGGACAAAATATCTGTATCTCGTGCAACGGAAAGCAACGTAAGTCATCTTCTCATTATAATATTTGTCTATAAAATACACATTTCAATTCGTCAGCTACCCTACGAGGCTACTCTAATTTTAAGTGGTTATACGATGTTTTCCAAATATTTTGTGATATTTGCCCCTCGTCGCGTTTTCAACGCTGAGTAAATAATTTTATTTAGGAAACGTCTAATGATGTTGAACGGTAAATCAATGATCCAGACAATTTGGTCTTGATGTTATACATTGTTTGGTCTAGTTTAAATTTTCTTGTTTGATCGACCTAGACTATAGACATTTAACTCTGTTATGACTAACTTTTTTACTGCTACTTTATCTGTAAGTTCGTTCGGGTTCGAATCTCTAAATAAATTGTTTAATAGGAGTCTGGTTGACTTCTTGCCTATATTTAAACGTTTATTCGTGTACTCAGTTACCTATTTTAATATAAACATTGATTTTATCATCAATAACAATTTCACTTTTACTGATGAAAGAAGAAGTCTAAAATATAAGCACGATTGTTTTAAACGCGAGCCATACCCTTACGACGGCGTTGCGTCGATGTCGATATTAATTGACCTATTACCTACTTATTTAAACTATTTGTAACTTTATTTAATTTACGTTATACAGTTAAATTGTGTTTAGATTTATTAGTACCACTTGCGACAAATCTAGATATAGGTATAGGCTGTTTAATTGTATTAACCTTATCAACTTAACAATCCGCGTAGAATAGTTGTTTTGGACATCCAAATTTGTTTTTGCAAACTACCTCTTCATCTTTATAAATTTATGCTGTTATTGCGACGTCAGGATCGTCCTCTCGTTCTTGTTAACCTTAAAAAATAGAGATATAGGGCTGCGGACATTTTTTAGATAATTAAAAGCGGAAACATCCGTTTCTACATAGTTTTGGGTATATTGAACGGTTTTCCCACCGTATGCATAGGAAAAACACAAATGCTAATATTTTTCCTCATTTTTTCCACATCTCCTGCCGTTTCTTCGCTCGTACTAGTATCAGCGCAATTTTTTATGGACTCTCCTCAATAAATGTTCTCACCGACACAAAATTTTTCAATTCCCACAAGGGGTGTTTGGGAAAAACAGCTTATAACTCTTCAGCTTCATATATTAACATAGATAGATTCAAGTTGTCCGTGTCACGATCTAACATGTTCCCGAATTATCAAGTGGCCTTGCAATTCTAAATATCGAAATACTCAGTATTTGCGTTATCTAAAACCTATGGGTGTGAACTTAGTGTCCTGTCTGGGTTAGCGTTTGGGCGTGTAAGATAAGAATTCGAATATTTTAGCACGCTACGTCCGGTCAAACAACTTTTTGAGAGACAGACGTAATACTGTTCAGTGTGTTATGGGTTAAATATAAATTACAACATAATATGATAAAAACTAGTATTTTGCAAATTTAAAAAATATATATATATTTACTTATAATATTTTACATTAATATATTACATTAAAGTTTAATTCCATATATTTTATCTCTTTTGATCTTTATAGCAATGTTGTGCATAAATATTACTTATAGACATAATCGTCACACCCTATAAATTTATATTAAGTTGTTTTTTTTAAGGCTTTTTTTATAAATATATGCTTAATTAATGAATATTTGTATTCATTAATATATTTTTAAATCTAGAAACACATTTTAAACAAAAAATTATTGATTTCTGTTGATTCATTATTGTAATGAATATATATAACAAAAATCTCATCTTTTAGTCATCGAACATTGAACAATTAATCAATTATTATTATGATTGATGGTTGCAAAATCGTGACGAATTATTAAATAGTATTGCACTACTACGCAACAATATACTGTACTATTAAAATAATAAATGATTATTTGAAAACAGAATAAAATGAGTGACGTCATGTTTTATAGTAAGAAAGCTTCGATCGACATGTGTTTATTAAAAAATAATAAAAATTTTGTATTATTGTCGGTTCGTATATTCGGTTAGACAGGGCACAGAAGTCTAATCAACTACTCGCCTAATACAAAATAATTAATCAGTAAAACGAACACAGAAATGTGTTCGCCCCATTCTCAAGTAGAAAATGGGAATCACTTTTTTGATATTATGTTTAAATATATTCACAACTTTTAACAAAATAAGAGTTTTTACGAAATTCGTATCGATTGGTTTGAAAAAGCGGTTATTAAATACCCTATTTAAAATAAAATAACGAAAGGGAGATGATCTTAAAAATCATTTTCAAATAAGTTTAACTAATTATCGCGTTTTAAATCGTTAAAAAGTTTTATTTAAAGCGCTTATTTCAACGGGTTGGGTTCGATCACCATCTGGAACACAAAATTGGCTTTAGGTCTTCTTTGCCCCATGCTTGTCCCTCTAGACCATAGAAAAGGTTCTCGTATCGTCTCTTAATAAAATTTACCAAAATATTTCTTAGCATTTTATTATAAAAACAATTAAACTTGTCGCACTGGCCACTGTCCAACTTTTATTAAAAATATATAATAGTTTTTATTTAAAAAGAGATTTTAGTTTTTATACATTTTTAAAAATGGAACGTTTCGTTGTATATGTGCAGTTTTCTAAACACACTATAACTTCTAGATAACGATTGGGTTGTTTGATTTAAGAATTATAAATTCAGTCTCTGATAACAAATATATATTATTTTTAATAGCCCGCATCTGCGTCGTAACTGCTTTTCTGACTGTTGTATTTACCTAAAACAAAAAAGTTTAAGTATTATCTGTAGCTTAACACAGTTAAATAAAAGACTTAACCGTTTAAAACGCTACATTTATTAGTTACCTTATTTCTGGACTTAATAAATAGCAAACAAGTTAACTAATACATTTCACCTTTTAAACCGTTAAAGTTGTTGTAGTTGAATGTAAAGTTATAAATCGATTAAAACAGTATCAGTAATCTTTTTTTTGTTTGAAAAAAAACGGTTTTGAGTTTGAGTGAAAATTGGTTTGAGCAACAGCACGGAACGTAGTGGATGTTGGTTCAAGTCCGGCCCGTGTGATTTCTTTTGAATCTAATTTCAATTTTTATTTTTTAAAATGCCATCATCTGCAATAACATGAAAAAAATATTAAATTTTTCAAATTTAAGAGATGTATTTAAAACACTAACCTTCACGATCCGTCAGCTGCAAACTTCTAAGTATAGCTTCTGGAATGGGGGGAGGAGTGGGTAAGTGGTCACCGATGGGCTGGAAGCCGTTTTCATCAGCTATATACGACACGGAGTATGTCTGGCCATCATCACCGATGTAGGAGTAGGAGCCAGAGATCTTGAGCGAACCTTCTTCAGGTACGGTTCCGGGGAGTATTTGGCCTGAAATCATGTGATGTATGGTTTGTTACTGGAGTTGTTACTTGGTAAGACAATGGTGACAACTTCTGAAAGATAGCTGCATGTTTTTAGAAACAGATGGCGCTAGCGTAGCTAATCTTACATGACGTTAAGGACGTACAGTCTATATTGTATTTTTTCTAACTTGGCATTTTTGGCAAATGATTATTGCTAATGGATTGATAACTTTGTCTCATGTTCCGGTTGTTGTCGGCACACGTGGACGTGGAGGAAACGCATGAAAAAAATCACTTATACTTTTCGTGTTTCAAGCCGATAAAGTGTTTCATTAAATGTGTACCACTACAAATTACTATATTTTGATATTCCGTAAGCAATATATGTCTATATGTTGAGCTTCGTGTAGTTTAATACTTCAACCTAATGTAATTGTACTATTGTCTCCTTAATAAAAAATAAAACAGAACATATCTATAGAATTATATAAAGCTGAAAAGTTGGTTTGTTTGTCAGAACGAGCTAATCTCACCGGTTAAAATTGAAATATTATTAGATTAGAACATTTATCGAAGAAGGTTACTGGTAGGAGCAAAGAAACGGTTAGTGAGTTTCCGAACCGTACGCTGCGAAGACGGTTCCAGATACCCAAATAATATGTATAAAATTCCTCTTTAAATGACCTAAAAATGTCTGCAATACCATATGGCTATCTTTTAAGATTACCTTTAAAAACGACGGGACGACGATGTCGTGGGTAACAGTTTAAATCTATTAAGAGGAACAGGACGTTTGCATTTTTAATCCCCAAAATAACTATTCTACGCGAATGAACGCCTTCTTTACAGCATAATAGCTACCTTAGTGTTATTGTTAATAAGTGCTACTTTAAGTTAACGACACAACTATTTATAACGTCGCTAACACCCGTTATAACACGATAGGCATAATTTTGTCGAATCGCGCATACTAGATCTCAATAAATCACGACCGTGACGAAAGTTCACGTAACCGCCTACAATAACATTATGTCATAAAATTGCCATCAAATAATTCGACACGTCATCTGACCTCCCTTTTGAGTACACTTGTGTTAAATGAGAATCATATCTATTCAATGTAGAGTATGCAATATTTAATGGCTACCTTTTTTTTGATAATTTTTATCTGTGGTTTGTAATACTCAGTATAAAAGAGGTTCTGAGGCGTGTTACGTTATTGAATTACATAATTTTAAATGTTAATTATAAAAAAAATATCCAATGAGAGTTGGATATCGATTCGTGGTCTTGCTCTACCAATTACGATAGTCTGTTTTTTATCTAGTTAAATCAACTCTTGCGGACTATAAAGTCCTAGGGTGCTTTTTCTATCTCTAGTAGAGCACCCTAATATTAGGTACTTATATTTTAGCCTTGCTATGGTAGTTACGTACGATACTAGAGAATCGTCAGCCCCCTCCCATGAAATAACTTACCATCCTGTTCTGCCTTAGTACCATCGCTAGTTTCATACGCATAATGGTACCCTTGTTCGTTCATTTCATTTTCAAATCGCAAAATTTCCGCTTGATTAGTACTGTAACTATGCGATTGCGCATAATTTTGCCCTTGCAGATTTTGATTGGCATAGTTCTGAACTAGCGCGGGATAATTCTGGCCATGGTTTGCTTGGTTCTGTGCTTCATAATTTTGAGACGATTCAAATGGCGTTTGGAGACCAGCGTCAGCTCCACCGGCTGATGCGGAGTTCGGGGGTAAATAGACCTTATCTAATTTCGCGGCGGCAGCCACACTTGCGATAGTTAGCAGAATAATCTGTAAATTTATTTTGCAAAATTAAATACATTAAAAGTTTACAAATTTTAATAAAACTTTTTAACGGTTTAAAACGCGATGTATTAGTTACACCGTTAAAGTGTTTTATTTATATGTGTACTACTCGCGTAAACTATAGACAGTATTTAAGGTTTTCAAAGATTATTAAGTCAGTATGTAGAGATGTACACACTAAATATAGGAACTCCAATGAGTCTTGGATTCGAAATACTGAGGTTTACGCGACTAGTACACATTTCAATAAAACAATAACGGTTTGAAACGCGAAATATATTAGTGAAACGTCTTTACACGTTATATTTAACGTCAAGCCGTAGTAAATATTTTAAATAGATCACGTTTCAAACCGTTAAAGTGTTTTATTTAAATATTTCAATAATTTTTTTGTAACATATTCTACGTCCGAAGAACACTGGACATTACTAATTATTGTGTGGTGGAAATTCTTTTTGGGAACTGTAATTCGTGTTTCGATTTCAGTCCGTGGATTTCGAAAGACCAAAAATAGAGACATATAGGATACCTTACGTAAACCGCATGCTTATCTGTCGCCCTCTAAAGTATTAACTTTTCAAGCGTACAATAAGCTATTATACTATATTGTAATATAAAGTTACAGTTAAAGTATTTTTGATAAGTATTTATTACTTAATGCCACGCCATTTACGAAGGTTGATTTCGTGAATCACAAATACTTGTTGACGAAGACAACGTTCTTTATCAGTTGCATATAAAATATACAGACTCTTTAGTAAATGCCAAAAGCACCTAACGTTTTTAGGGTTCCGTAGACAAAGAAAAAACGGTACTTTAAAATTGCGTTTAAGATTCTGTTACCACGCCTGATTATAGGTATTGTATTTTTTAAGCATTGTCCATAAATTACGCGAGTAGTACTTATTTTAATGCAACACTTCCAACGGTTTAAAACGCGCAATTTTTCAGTTAAAATATTAAGACAATATTTTAACTGCGGCCCGACGTTTTGACTGCTTTGCAGTAGCCGTGGTCACGAGGGGACTGAAGATGGAGGGTGTCCATATTCATTTACTGACAAAGTCCATACGAAATTACACAGTTAATATTTTCACAGAGTATTTTTTGTATCGTCCCTATAAACACTAAACATTAAACATTCTGCGTAACAAAAAAGTACGTAAACTAAATAAAAGGATATATTAGAATTATAGGTATAGTCTATAACATTTAAATCAAACATTCTAAAATGTTTAAAACGAAAAATTACTAACTTATTTACCACGTATTTAGACTACGGCCAGACCCTTTGCAACAGCCGTCGTGTAGTTTCACTAATACATTTCGCGTTTAAAACCGTTAAAATATTTTATTTAAATGTGCACTACTCGCGTAAAGTACATACCATACAACATTCTGACATTCCATTATCCGATAACGACACATCGATATTAAAATAACTTCAAAAATACTACGGAACCCTAAGTGCGAAGCCAACACATAAGTTACTTGATAATAATCTAATCACTCAGCACGTCGCACTAAAACACACTAAAAGCACTGCGATTACAAAATAATTACTGTACTGCGATGGACGTAAGCTTTTTTGCACAACACTAAAACATGAAGCGTATTAGGTCTACTAACATATTTCATATTGTTGTGTGTTCGGGTGAAGATGCAAGAGAAATGTACGGCAATGTACCATCCACGGTGGTTTTATACCGAACTGCGTATATTCGACTGGGTTGTAATTTTTGGTTCACCACTCCCTTCAAACCTTTATCTAGCCATAGTTGTGTAGCAAGGACATTGATAGATTCCAATGAAATAGTTTTAATTGATCATCTTTAACATTGAAATAACTTTAATCGTTCGTGTTACTTATATGAAAACAAACAGTATCAACGAGATATGGTAAAACTTTGAACGAAATTAATTTAAATTACTATCTCTTGTTGCGCGCAAATCCTTGTGAAATATATATTATTACAAGTAGGATGGGCTAATCGCTCGAGAGCGGTCTCTACTAGGAAACCCTTGTTTGATTTCATGTAATCCCGTAAAATTGTATAATAACGTATTTAAATACAAACACTTAACGGTTTACAACGCGATATTACTGCTTGAGGACTGCTTAAACTATTTGAAAATGTTTTTTATTACCTTTCGGCAAAAAAGACGACGTTACGGATGCTTAACAGCAGCACGTGTTATCGGGGGAGACATTATTAATAGACAGTATTTACGTATAATAACGATTCATAACGATATTTTAGTTAAACTATTTGAGACAAGCAAACAGGGAGAAGAATGCAAAACTTCGGGCGTTTGAGGACTGCTAAAAAGCATTTTCAAATAATTTTACTTATTAACCTTTAGTAAAAAAGCTAAACTATAAATAATAACAGACAGCATACATTTTATCGGTTTATTTTCACCCCTTTCCGTTCCCCCCCCCCTTTTTTTCTTTTGGGTTAATTTTTTTTTTTTTGAGTCGGCTCGTAAAAATAAGTAAAACTAACACTTTTCGCGTTTTAAACCGTTAAAATTGTTTTATTTGGATATATATATATATTTTTTTTTAAATAGATATGATGAACATAGTGATTCAAAACTATAAATGGTACTTCTAAACAGTCTTATTACCTTTTGTTATTATCATGTGACCTGATCAAATGCATGAGAATAGATGACACACGTCGTCACAGTGGTATTTCAAAGACATAGTGGTATATCATGCTCTTCTTCAAAGGTAAGCATTTGATTGGCTTTAATGGTGCGAATTGCGTATAGAACCGCTGACTCAAATGGAAGATGGATTGTTCATACCACTAAACCAACTCGTTCAATCTATTTTTACTAATATAAAGAGTCTGTTTGTTTGTTTGGAAAGCGTTTATATCAGGAACTACTGGTTGGGATTGAATTTATTTTTATGTTGGCAAAATAACATCACCTGCGACCAGTAAAAGCGAAGAACATAGGCAGGGACTATGTGGGAAAGCCAAGATTTTTTACAATGGAATGGTTGCGCTGCGAAAACGATTCAAGAAACCAAGAAAAAAACATGTATGAATGAATGATTCGTCTTTAAATAATCTAAAAGTATTGTCCGTGATCCTATATGTATATCTTTTAAGATTAACTCGCAAGAACGACGGAAACATAAATATCGTCGCGGGTAACGGGAGGTTTGCAAGAATAAATAATATAATGCCCAAAACGCAGTCGAAGTCGCGGACACACCTAGAGCACGATACTTATACATATTAAATAAATAAGGACCGTTTGTTTTACGTAACTTCTGAATCCTTTTACTTAAATTGGCTAGCTATAAACTCTAAACGTGACAATTTTCAAGGACGCATATGGGATAAGGCGAATGCAACCTTAATATTAATGCAATAAGGTTGATTATATTTACAATTATATGTAGATCAATGCATGTCAAGTTATCTAGACTGTCATTAAGTAGGAATTTACGAGTAGGATTTGTCACAATTGTTATCGAATCCTCCTAACATAATATTACCTGCATAATTGTATCTTTTGTGTGTACAGAACAATTTTAAACGCGTTCAAACTGTAATTTGCAATTCAATACATCTTTAATAATTTAAATTTAGAACTCCATTTTTGAAAGTGTCACTAATAATGTTTTATTTTTTTAACAAAACACTTTTAACGGTTTAAACCCGAAATTTTATAGTAAATTTATTTTTATTTTAACTACGCCCCGACGTTTTGGGTGCTTTGCAGAAGACTTTTGACGTTGGTCCCCACACAAGTTAATTGATATTTCGAGCTCTAAACTGTTAAGTGCTTCTTTTAAATTTGTACCAATCGCGTAAGCCCGGTTATATCACCAAGATGTATCTCAAGAACTCGTATAGCTGCTCATAATTACTAACTAATACTATTTTTTTAATCGCTTTAACGGTTTAAAACGCGAAATTTGTTAGTAAATTTATTTTCAATTTAACTACGGCCGGAGTTTGGATCTTTGCAACATCGTGATAAGTGGTCCCCACATAAATTAACGAATATTTCAGGTTTAAACCGTTAAAAGTCTGTCGAATCGCGTAAACTACAGAAATATATTTGTCATATATTTATAAAGAGGCCGATTCACTTATTGACTTAAAAGTAAAATTTAACCTTGAACTCGTAAAATTATATACGGAAATAAAAGTAAAATTGTTTTAACACTCGGCTTCCAATTATTAAATCAACTGTATATCCGATTACTAATAAAATGGCGGGAAATATCCGCTTCGTCACGGCAATATTGGATAATTTATCAAGTATATTTGACCCACGATATTATAATATTTAGGAACACTAACATTTTATTCCAAGGATTCATAATTACTTAGATGATTATGTTAAAATATTTGCAGTTCTTGATTTGCCTTTTGCAAATCTTAGTCTATAAATATTATTCTAAATGCGAAAGTAATGTCTGTTTGTCCGGCTTTAACGTCGCAACTACTGAATCGAATTAAATGAAATTTCGTATACAGATATTCTAGAGTCTGAGAAAGGACACTTTTAATGCCATAAAGGGTTGTTAGGGGTTGAAAAGGAAGATGAAAGTTCGTATGGAAATTCGTGATTTTTGAAGCTAGAACAATGAAACATTCTTCTTTGGCTTTTTGGGAATGGGGAGTGGGAGTGAGTATAGGGGTGATATGAGGTGAGAGTCGGAGTGTTGCGGCAAAGTAGCACTTACCACATAGATTGGATGCCTTGAATGAGCTCTTTTATAAATAAATATAAACAGCCTAAATAATTAAAAATTCTACCCAATGTCACTATTCCGCGCGGACGAAACCGCGGGGACACGTAGTTCAGTCTTTAAATTTAGATGATGATGAAAATTTGAAATTATAATTGTTGTAAATATTTTTCTCGACCTAGCTTTTAGTAAAATAACGAAAAGTTAATTTCTACTAATATATAAAGCGGAAGTTTGTTTGTTTGAACGTGTGAATCTCAGGAACTACTGGTTCGATTTGGAAAATTATTTTTGTGTTGGTTAGAGTCTTTATTAAGGAAGGATACAGGCTCTGTGAGTATTAGGAGCGAAGAAACAGCGGGAAATATGGAAAGAACGGGGAAAATTATTCATCTATGTAAGTTGCCGATGCGTAAACTTCGACAACCGTTCGAGATACCAAAAAAATATGTACGTAAGGAAGATTTCTCTTTAAATGATATAAAATATGTCCGCGACATTATAGCTATAATTAACTTGCAATAAGGACGAAACTGGGTAACAGCTTAAATTCATAAAGATGAGGTTTGCAAAAACAAACAAAATTTTGTATTCCCAAAATATCTATTTTACGCGTACGAAGTCGCTGACATAGCTAGTTTATAGTATAAGGTGTACCTACATTTAGTACTGTCTGTTTACGAGAGTAGTACACATTTCAATTGAGAACTTTTAACCGTTTAAAACGCGGTTTTATCCACTAATATACACCATATTGTAAATATATTTGGGAAACATTTGTTGATATCAAATAAGACCAAATTGACCATTGGCCCAGCAAGGTGTATTATTGGAGCCCTAATTGTAGGGCTAGTTCTCACTTATGAAATGTAATATAATGTCATTGACATTTTGAAACCCTTTAACCGTTATTCAATAGGTTTCTTTATAAGCGCCATGTTATTGGTAATTAAAGAACTCTTTGAGTCGAGTGAACGCAAAACTAATAAAAAGCTAAATAGTACCGAATTAGAAGTGTATCTTTTAATTGTTGTTTCATAACATACAAGTAGCCAATTACTATTTGCGCAACGGTCATACGAATTCGTCTTACATCCTTGGCATTAGTGTGTGGTTTAAGTGAAGATTTATTTGAACCTCAAAAATCTACCAAGATACAAAAAAATATATTATGCAGTACGTACGTAAATTAAAATGTTATGTGCTTAAAAAATCTTCGCCTGGAAATGGTTTAAAAATGTCCCAGACAGAGTGTTTTAAGATTAACTCACAAGAACGAGACGCGGACGATGTCGTGGGTCAAACTTTTGTTTTGCAAAATAGGTTTCGATTCCTAAATAGTTTTTACTATGCTTAATATTTAATATGCGACGAGAAATAAATATTTATGCTGCAAAGAAAATAATATCATAAAAAACTCGTTTTCAATATTTTAAAAGAGCTTACCATTTAGCAAAAAATCGAAAACACGATATGTTTTGCCGCTTCTAAATTGGGCCATACTTTTCTTCTAAATTTGATTGACTTAAGCTAGCAGTAATACTTCGTTAATCTGCGTCATTATATTTAGCTCTATTTATCAGTATCATCATGATTTATTTAACAGTTTTAAATGTGGTCAGTGTTTGTTCACATCACTTTTGTGAAAAGAGATACACTCAAAAGATGGCGTTAGTATGATATTTCGTTATTAAGACGTTACAATTTATTTTTTGTCTGTAGTTTACACAAGTAGTACACATTCAATTAAAAATACTTTTTATGTCGACTTAAAATGTCGGACTGTAGTTAAATAATGTATTTATTTCTTTATATACATACAGCTTAGTACAATAGGATAGTGTATAAATTAGATATCAATAAGGCAACACAAGTCTACACTTTTAGATCCAGTAATATAAAAAACTAACTTCGT